TACTGTTGACCGCATCTCACTTCTCTGGCTCAAGTTTCGAGTCTCTTCACTCTGGGTCCTAAACTGTGGACAGAATTTCGAAGGTCATCCAGGGTGCAGTTCCACCCGTGCCTACAAACAAGGCCAAGATTCAAACCTCTCCCAGGTTAGTGGCCTCCAAAATAAGTATCAGATGGCAGCAGATAGGGGTAGGTCAAAAGTAAGGGCTCTGTAGTTGGACTCTCTTAGTTCAAATCCTGGCTCTGCCACCTGCTAGCTGTATGACCATGAACACATTTCTTTACCCCAGTTTCCTCATCTGCTCTATGTAAATAATAACAGAACTTACCAAATTACATTGTTTTAAGGATTATATGTGTTAACACAGTAAGGTGCTTAGAACATGTTTGGCACATAGTAAGTTCTCATGGTTGTCCTTGTAAATAGGACAAGTTCCATAATCAGCTCTAGCGAGTTTCTACCTTTTTGCTGCCCTCTGGTGGCCAGTGAACATATTGGAGGACTTAAAGCATAAAAGTTGACCCCTTGTGTGCTGGACAAAATGTAGATCAGATGATGATGGTAACAATGACCACAATAAGTGGTTGCTTACTTTATTTAATCCTCCCAGTAACTCTACTGAAGCAGGTATGATCATTATTCCTTTTGTACAAAGAAGAAAATTAGCACTAAGAAAAAATTATCCAAGATAAACTACATGTATTTTGAATTAAATATATGTACTCAAGAAACCCTTGTTTGTAACCAGGAATTTAATGTGAAAGAAATAAAAATTTAGTTGTTTAGTTTAATTCAGTTCAGGAAATATTGTAATCTGATTTTGCTCCAGTTCAGTAGTTTCATAAAACATATAGCTTTGGCTTCAAATTGAACTACTTGAGTAGTTTTTTTTTTTTTTTCCTACCACTGGGAAAGGTGGTTAAGTTCATGGCTTAGTGAACATTAACATTTGGGTTTATTTCTATTTGAATATTGATTTGGAGTTAGGTTTGGTTCAAGTCCTGTTTCCAGGAGTCTGGTGAATTTTATACTGATGGACGTCTTCAGGAAACAGCCAATGGCTAACAAGAATGCATTGGGCCTCTTTCATCAAAAACATTTCCACAGCCCTCTGGTCTGGACTCATATGATATCTGGTTCTCTTTAAGTTGGCTGTCCTGAGACAGAATAATAATGCTAAACATAGTAGTGAGTGGTGATTTTGTAACACTGACAAATGATTTCACTTTGCTGGGTAGACTTCTAAACACACAAATTCATGAATGTAGTCACACATTGATTCTAAAGGATTGTACCTCATAGATGGAGGGAGTCTGCAGGATTCATGCTTTCCATCTCATCTCTATTGTAACTGTGCTAAAACAGCATGGAATTGTTTTGAATGTAGATGCTGTCTTCCTGGGAAGGTATCATTTTTTGATTTAAATTTTGTTTGAATTGTGATGTTCAACTTTATTATATTCAGAATCCAAAATGTTTTTTAGAGAGCTGTGTCTTGTTTTATAATGCTATTTAATGGGCAACTGGGAATCAGTTTATAGAAAGATGTTTATAACCAAATTAACTGGAATATATTCATTCTATTGAATAAGGGACACCTAAGTTAAGATTTCATTTGTATTGGGATAGTGATTGATACATAAGAGCATGGAGAAAAATTAGGAAGCTGAGACCTGAGGGCATAAGCTGAAGGCGGGTCTTTATGAAATCATAATTGTAGTTAACAGGTTTTTTTGGCACAAACCATATGCCAAGTACCCACCACAGATGTACTATAATTATTTCATTTAATAGTTGAGAAAAACAAAGCTTAGGAGAGTAAAGTAACTTGTCCAAAGTATGCCAGGGAACAAGAAATAGGATTTTGAGCTCAATCACTTAACCATTTTACCAAATTTTCAAGTAGTCAGGAATTGGATGCAAAAAAAATTAAGATCAAGCCAAAGAAGAAATTCAGACACCCAGCAGACCAACAAAAATCAGAGCATGTGCAGAAACCAGGAGTCAAGAGAAGTCAAGGGTCAGAACCTTTTCATGTAGATGAAAACCAGAGAGAGGGAGAAACTAGTCTGATGATAAAAGGAGAAAAAAATAAATAAATATAGCTGGACAAGGCAAGGGGCCAGGAGAACTACGTGTGACTGTGACTGAAAGGCATTTTCCATCCTAGCCAGGTGCTGTCTTCTCAGAAAGGAACCAACCTGACACAGTATTGGGCTCATTTGGGCTGATCATAGAACAAGGTGTAGATTCATTCACCTCGAGTACACATGTAAGGCCAGAAACAACAACAAATTTATACTAAGCATAGGGCCAAAAACCATTTTTCAACTGTGTCACACATCATTTAGTTCAATGCCCTACTCTTGTACGGCATCTCTGGTCAGATTATTCGATCTCTGCTTGCACATTTCCAGGGCACTGAGCTCCCAGGCTTCTAGCTAGCTTCTTTTCTTTGTTACAGCATTCTGACTTCTGCAATGCTCTTTCTCTGTAGGCCAGAGCTCATCTTTATGAGTGCTACCCATTGTTTCAACTCTGTCTCTGTGCCCACACAAGGTTATATCTACTATTGTGCATCTGATTTATTTCACTTAACATTGTGGTCTCTAGGTGCTACTCTTTTTTTGTTCTACATGAGAATGGTGAAATTGTTTGAAAAGAAGAAAAAGGATTCAAAAAATATCCAAGCTACAAAGTCTTCCAAGAGATAATGGGGGTGAGTTACCTCAAGAGATCACTAGGATATAACTCTGGGTAAGAGAAGATATCATGTCCAACAGTAGTCCAGTGTCTCAACTTTCAACCCCATCTCATGAAAGGTCACCTTCCCAGGTACTATGACCACTGCACATCTCAGCAGTGTCTTGGTAACCCTGCAGAACTGTGAAGAGTTTATGGAGATATAATTATTTCATTAGCTCTGTATAACAAGCTAGCATTTCTCAAACACAAAGATAGTAAAGAGTTAGAAGGGAAATAAAGGTGAAGAAAAAAGTAAAGAAGCAATTTATTCTTAAAGTTTTATACTTTTAGTCTTTCATATTTAGGTTCATAGATCCTTTCAAGTTATTTTTATGTACAGAAATAAAACATTGAGGTTAATTTTTACATACGGATAACAGGTGTTCTAGCACCATTTGCTGAAAACACTATCTTTTCCTCTGCTCTTGAATTGAGTTTATGTTCTATAAAATGTTAATGTTAAATAATTTTTCAAAACTCAGTGGACCATATATGTGTGGTTCTATTTCTAGATTCTCTGTTTTATAACACTGCCTTGATTACTGTAGCTTTTGAGGAAGTCTTAAAATTAAGCAATAAATGTCTTCCAACACAGTTTTTTTTCTTTTTACTTTTCTAGGTCCTTTGTACTCCTACATAACTTTCAAATTTCAATATCCAATTCTTCATTTATAGCAAGTATACATAGACCTGAATTTTTATATATACCTTGTGTTTTCTAATCCTGCTAAATTCAAATACAAGTTCTAGGGGCTCCTAGAGATTTCTTAGTATTTTCTCTGTAGATGATCATTTCATCTACATATAAAGATCTTACTTCTACCTTGCCAATCCTATGCTAATTGTTTCTTTTTATTGCCAGACTATTTTGGCTTAGGCCTATGTTTCAAAGTTTAATGGACAGATGCAGAATAGGCATATCTGCCCTTGTTCCCCACCTTACGGAGAAAGCATTGTATCTTCTCCATTCATATAAGGCATTTTTGCTGGAAGTATGGAGCATATCTTATCTGTTGAGAAGGTTCTGTCCTACTTCTAGTCTCCTGATAGCTTTTATCATGAACAGCTGTAGAATTTAGTCCAATACTTTTTCTGCAACTAATGACAGGATCATATGGCTTTTTCCTTTCCTCTGTTAAAATGATGACTTTTGAGGGAGAATCTTCCAGTGCTGAACCAACACTGCCATCCCTATAATAAAACCACTATCTACATACTGCCAGATCTGACTTCTAATAGTTTGTTTTGTTAAACAAATTTTTATCTATGTTCATGCTTTTTTCTTCTATTATCTTTATCCAATTTTAGTATTAGCACAATGTTGATTTCCTAAAATGAAGGGAGAAGTATTCCTTCTTTTTTCTGCTTTAAATTTTTGATATAATTCATCAGTTAAAATGTATATGAGCCTGTTGTTGTCATATAGGTAGATTCTCAAGCTAGGAATATACTTTCGTTAATAGATGCTATTCAAATTTTATATTTCCTCCAGAGTCAGTTTCATTAATTTGTCTTCCAAGGTACTTCTTAGAAGTTGTCAAATTTGTTTCAAAAAAGATTTTGTAATATCCTTTCTATATCCTTTTAAATTCTGTAAAATCTGTGGTAATGTCCTCTAAATTTTGATATTGTAATTAAAACAATGTATAATTGATATTGTGTAATAGGAAGAAAAGGTCTAAAGGAGCAGGGGAAGTGGGAGGGGTAGGGGAAAGGATAGAAGGGAAAAGAAAAAATATGATAAAAGGAAAAAAAATGGAAACCAAGTCTTTGCAAATAGGGAATGGTGGAGGGGATGAAGGGAGGGCAGGGGAAGGGGAAAAATAAGAACCAAGATACATCATGTGAAGGTACAAGATCCCAATGATGCATGTAACTGTACTGTATACCTAAAATGCACCAATAACTTTAATGGAAAAAATGAGCACATGATCAATGGACATCACCCAAATTTTTCCAGTGTTTCCTCCAAGCAGCGTACCTCCTCCTCTGTGCTCTCCCTAAGGATAGGGAGAGAGGACTGCCATAATTCTCACTTCCATTTGGACAGATTATGGTGATGTCACATCAGCTGTTGAACAAGGAGGGCAACAGTGATCTTAAATTCAGATATAAAGTAGATAGCAAAGTGGATTTTACTGTAAAATGAAAACCAGAAGAATCAACCTTTATTGAACACCTACACTCACTGTAGTTGTTTATCTCACTTTGTTGTTTCTGTCAAATGAAAATATGTCTTCATTCATTTTATTCAGCAGATCCAGACTTCTGGCTGTACCCCTAAGTCACAATGACCATGAAATGTGAGAGTTTTGAATAATTCAGGACACTGAGGCAACCAGGACAGCACCACTTAGGACACTCATGAAAGAGGAATTCCAGAACTACTTTAGAAAATGTCAAGAAGGATGAGATAAATGTGTTTGAAATGGAGTGTTTTGAAAGGGATTACTGGCAATGTGTCTTTCATTGTAATACGTTTAAAATTTTTAAACATTCATTGTATTTTGTGACTGTACCTTATACAAATATTAAAAATAAAGATAAAGGTGATTGTTCTGGTTTGAGTGTTTGTCTTTTTTTTTTTTTCCAGAATTCATGTTGAAACTTGATCCCCAGTGCAACAGTAGTAAGAGGTGGAGACTCTGGGAGGTGACTAGGTGCTGAGAGTGGAGCTGTCATAGTGGGTTAGCTCATACAAAGGCTGATGGGAACTAGGTAGGCTCTTTTGCCCTTTCCTTCCCTTCTGCCATGTGAGGACATAGCGACTGTTCACTCTGGAAGATGTAACACCCAAGGTACCATTTTGGAAACAAAAACCAGGGCCTCAACAGACACTAAGCTTGATGGTCTCTTGATGCTGAACTTCCCAGCCTTCAGAAGCATGAGAAATAAATTTCTGTTCTTTACAAATTATACAGTCTGAGGTATTTTGTTATAGCAGTGCAAACAGACTAAGGAGCTGACTACCATTTACTAACTTTTATCATACAAGAGTTTCCTGTAGCAGTTGTCTTTTCCATGCATCCATTTAATCAACAAACATTTATTTTTAACTTACAGTCAGTGTGTGGTCAAGCTGGGTTTTGAAAGTAGTCAAATTAAACAACATATATAGATTGAAGGCTTACTGATAAAGCAGGCTTTCTGCTAAGTAAATAAACAAAATCCAATTTCACTGCTCCTAGAAAATAAATAAGAATTAACTGTGCCTAGCAAATAAATAAGCATTTACAACATAGAATGTTGACTACAACACACGAGACACCTTGAATATGGCAAGAGGCTCATGCTCCCTTGGCCTGAGCTCCAAAGAATTTTTCCTTTTAACTTTGGGGTCTCCTCCACTCACTCTGCAAGGTATAGACCCCAAAGAGGACAGATGGGGATTAAGGATGGTGGTATGGTACCCAGGGATGTAAGCAGGTGAGGGTTTGCAAATGACTGGCTGTGTGCATGAATATGTGTGCTCATGCGCGGATGTGCACATACATGGGCTTCCAGGTGGCTCGATCCTTCCAGTGAACTGCTTGCAAGGCTCTGAGTGACCCCTTCAGTAGGGCCTTGTAGAATTGGCTGAGTCTGGGAGAGTGGGGTGATGGGGTGGGCTTGAATGGGTTAGGGGTAAGGAGAATCGGAGTGCTGTGGCCCATGAAGACAGGAATGTAAATTTTTTTTCATTAAAACAACCTTGAAATTGTTGGCAAACCTATAAAAAGGCTTTGTTAGAGTCATCCTGGGACAGCTTTTCTTTGAGTTCAGTTTATTAATGTAGGTTTTTACATGGATTTTTTTTATTAACAAACATATGGTACTTTAGGAGATTTAACACCAAAGGAAAAGCTTCATAAAGAAACATTCTGAACACCAGTATGATACAAACTTGTACTGCTGCATTTTACAGAAAAGTAAGTTATTGGGATATTTGCAAACAATTTCTGTAGTACTTTTTATTTGGTGACAAGATATTTTAATTTCATTCAGAAACATATATTAAGCCCTTCAAGAGGGAAAAGAAGAATCTGAGCATAAAGTGTCTGTGTGGTTGAAGAAGACGAGAATCTGATGATGGAATATATATATTCCATATCCCAAATGCCTTTTGACCCTTTGAAGGGTTTTCTTAAAGCAACTGAGAAAGTTGTATTCTGTTACTGCTCACATTTAGGGCATGGGTCTATAAGATGAAATCGGTCCAAAATTATTCTCTACAAAGAAATGCAGAAATTAGAAAAGGAGCCTTGGGATTGATCTTATTTCCTATTTTTCCCCGTTGCTGGGTCCTGGTTCAGAGGCAAGTGTCTTTTCAAAGGAATTGTACCTTCCTGAACAATTCCTCTCACCCTCTGTTCACTTTCAGTGATTGTCATCACTGCCGATGTCACAGATGACATCCTTGACTCTTACTCTGGAGGGAACTGTCCAGGAACATACACATGTCAGGGCTGAGCTACACATGCCAACTCCAAAGATGATATGAATCCGATTTAAGCTGCTAACTGGAGAGCCAGAGCTGAGACCCATGGAACCTCAGCTTTACAAGGGTCCCCTATGTGATAATTTGTGCCAGGAAAGCTCCTGCACAAATTCTTAATTGGAGAGAACTTGTCATCCAAGGGACATTTGGCAATAGGTGGAAACATGTTTTGGTTGTCAGAGTAGAGGGAAGGGGTACTATTGGTATCTCATGGGGATAAGTAAAGAATCCTGCTATATATCCTATAGTGTACAATATTACTCCTACACCAATTAACTATCCCTATCCAGCCCCATTTGATAGTCACCTGGCTATTGAGATATCCTCTCCTACATTAATTGAGGAAGATGACTGCTGGGCATGCATTGGTGTATGCACAGTTGAAGTGAGGGTATTGCTTTCATTTTTCTGGTCTATCAAGAAAGTTGCAGACCCTTACTTTGATCATGTCTGAGAGTCCTCAGAAGCACTTCCTCAACTCTATTCATTTGGCCACCAAGGTAGGCAGCACCGACTTTTCAAGTAATTGGGCAGAAACCTTAGGAGGGTGAACATGTGGCTCTGTACTTTTTGAAGGCTTTCAAATGAGACAAAAGACACAAAGAAAGTGGGATGGACTGGCGCATAAGGAGAGGAAAATGGTCTCTAGGTCCATGAGGTGGAAGAACCTACCTTCCAGAATGATTGCAGTCCTTCTGTGTCTGGGAACAAAGTGAGGATATTGTTGTGAAAGGCATCATCGTCAACCCTGGTCAGTGGAGGAGGACAGGGACCTGGACCTAATAAGGAACTTTTGCAAGTCAGCTCTTGAGCGCCCTCAAACGCGCCCCCTGGTGGCCACAGTACACATTATTATGTTCTTCCCAAGTCTTTTCCAATTGTTCCCAGCTAAGGGCATGCCCAGTTGATTGAGGTGGTTGGCGCTCTTGTCCTCAAGAAATGACAGTGCACCATGAGCTGTGGGAGAAGAGAAATGATGCTCAGTTTACACCAAGCCCAGATTTCCAGTGATATCATCCTGCATTTAAATTCACATATTTATTCAGCTCCTGCTATCAGCAAGACACTGTCCTGGATTCTGTGGGAGAGATAGAAAGAGAAATGTATCATGGCGTGCCTTCAAAGACTCATTTGCATGGAATCTTGAAAGATGGTGAGACTTTGACAGATAAAGAGATTAGTATTGAATGGAAGTAACAGAGCACACGCCTGTTTGAAGAAGCACAATTAATTCGATGTAACTGAAACAGACAAAACTTTCAGGGGAATGGTAAAGCCTAGAAAGGCACTGGAAGCTGAGCACAAAGGACATGAGCCTCAGGAGGAGGTGCATGTATTTTATCCTGTGTGAAGTAGCCCACTGTTGGAAGGTGTTGGAGAGGAGAATAATATGACCAGTTCTTTACTTTGGAAAGAGAGGTTTACTAGTAACATGCATGATGGGATGGAAAGATGGGAGGCTGGACAACCAGGCAGGGAAATTTGGGACCAATTACTGAATTTTTTCTTCTTTCTTTAGACCCCCTGAGGATGGAGCTTAAAGGCCCAAGCCAGTAGTCAAGAGCCTGGCACTATAGTGCAGCAGAAAAAAGCAGGGGCGCAGAGCCCCACACCCTTGTCCAAATCCTGACCTTGCCACTGTTAACTGTTTCTTGGGCAAGTTATTTAACCTCTTTGTGCCTCAGTTTCCACATCTATAAAATGTAGGCTAGTAAATAGAATTTTCTTTCCAAAGTTTTTGTTGGGAGTTTTAAAGTACGTTGCTTAAAAATCACTTAGGATAGAATTAGAGCAGATTATTAAACTTACAGAAATTTTGTAGGTTGGTGAACATCATGGCGGTCAATGAAAATAAGCAATGGTGAGAATATACAACAGAAGTTGACGAATGTTAGCAATCAATAACAAAAAGCATGAGAGAAAATGAAGAGGATAGCAAAAGGTGATAAACTGAGAGAGACTCGCATTTACCATCTCACACAAAAAGTTCTTTGAACATTTGACAAAAAGGGTCTTAAAATTAGGTATTACAATACACTCTGCATTATTTATCTCATTAAACTTCTGTGGGACTTGATATATATGAAAACTGGAAAAGTGAAGTGAAGTGGGTTAACTCAAGCAGCATGTGCTGGAGGAAACATTCCTGTTACATTAAGACCAGGACCACACATTATTATAGAAAATGCCACGGTTTAGTTGGAAGCAGGTTCAATGACACAATAGCTGGTTTAGAAACCAGACTTCTTGAATTTGAATCTTTCTTGTATTATTTATTATCTTGGATAATTCACTTATCTGTGCCTGAGCTTTTGGATCTATAAAATAGGGTAATAGTGAGAAAAATATATAATACAGAGAGACAGTCTTGGAATGAGATAGCTATTTTTTGAGCAAAACCTACAGAGTGATTGGGAATATAGGAGGATAATGATAACAGACTGTGAAAATCATGAATGCCCTTGCCAGGCACATAGCAGCCTGCACATGTTCCTGGTATGGAAGGAGTCTGGCTGCAGTTTGGTCTCTTTGCCTAAAAACCCACAAACAGATAGCAACTGTTGTGAGCAGCCTCAGCGCATGATAAAAGACTCCACTGTTTGGTTACATCTGGAAGTGGAAGAGCGATAATGTGACGTTGTGTGTTGCAGGAGTGCCTCTGGACTCCCATTCTCTCCTGCCAAGGTCCTTTACATTGGCTGAATGATGTCTGGCCTCAGTATATCATTCCTTCCTTCCAACCTAGAAAAGCTAGCGCTTTAAGTCAATACCAGCCATTTAAACCCTGGGGTGAATGAAGAATTGAGGAATGGTCTTTGCCCAGAGCTGGGTATTAGTGTAAGTATGTGATCTCTCTACCTGCTTGGACTGTTTTGCAGATGTTATCTCCATGTGAGTTTTATGATGGATAAGTATCATTTGGTGATCATCCCATTAAACTCCTTTACCCCTGCATTTACCTTTTAAATCTCTCATTTCCTTGA